ATTCATATACACAGTCTACGTATATTATCCTATTGGTCCAGCCTTGCATCTGCTTCAGCATTAACAACTGTTTTAGATCTCTCCTTATCATCTTACACTGTCTAATGCCTTATTACTATTAACAAAACGGTGTATCCTCCTTTTTATCTATCTGTGGCGTTTTGCTCTATTCTAACATACAAACCAAGTAAACTCGGAGCTCAGGTAGGCTTCTGAGGATACTAATTACTTTCTGTTTACAAAACTGAAAGCTTTAAGACAGACAACATAGTCTACTTTCAAAATAATGCAGGGTACATATAATTTTTTATCACTTCAAAATGTAAACAATTTCTATATTATAAAACCCTTGTTGTGAATGAGGTAAATAAGGAACTGCACATCAGAAGCCTGAAAACTTTTAAAGAACTTTGTGGACAAAAAAAAAAAAAAAAGAGTTCTATCTGATCAGAAAACCTAAAGAGCATCAGCTTTGATTATATACAACTTCCATTTAAGTCACAAAAATCTGGTTCTGTATGTACATAGTCCTAACCTCAAAGGGAGTACTCCCCGCTTTGGTTTGGCTTGGTTTGGTTTTAGGCTTCTATGGCACTATATTGTCTGTTTTTCATCTGCTAATGGAAGGAGAATATAATATGTTTTTGATACCACATAATTATTGTTACATACATTTCATGAAACTTTTGTGAGATGAATGAAAGAGTCTTCTCAAAAACAGAAACCTTTTAATGGTAATTTCCCAAAATACATTCTCCAATAAGTTTTTATGTTTTGATTATAGAACTAAAAATTTTGTGATCCTTGTGGATTTTACCCCTAGAATACTCCATTCTGGGAGGGAATAAAATAAAATAAAATAAAATAAAATAAAATAAAATAAAATGTCCTTCTAATATAGAGTCTATAAGGACTTTAAAAATCTGAGCCACTATTCTACACTTTTTCCCCAGCATTCACTGTGCACGGGATATAAGGTCTCCATGTGGATTAGCACGTGCCATTCCTCTGGTAGGGATGCTGTCTAACATTGCGCCCTTATCTTACAGCGTGTTTGCCTACCTGGCTTTCTGCTACAAATAAGAACAAAACAAACCCCCAAATCTCCAGGATACTCAGGACTTGCAAATGTCACCAACGCGGCCTCCTTTCTCCATGGAGGACAATTAACCTCACTTCTAAGAGAAAAATTAGCAAGTAAAACCTAAAATGCAAATATGGAGAGGACAAGAAATGCAGAAAATACATTTAAGTGTAAAAAGGGGAGGTGAACCTAGGAGATGTCTAACTTTTAAAAAGATAAGAGAGGCTTTTTTTCTTTTTTAAGGGAAATCACTCCTGCCACAGCACGTGGGCAATGCCAGGAGTTTTGGGGACCAGAGAGACATGGCAGGTGGCTGGTTTTGGACTTGATACACCAAGAGGAGCCTGCTGCTCTTCCCTGGAGCCTGCTGCTCTTCCCTGCACCCTGCTGCTCTTCCCTGGATCCTGCTGCTCTCCCCTGGATCCTGCTGCTCTCCCCTGGATCCTGCTGCTCTCCCCTGGATCCTGCTGCTCTCCCCTGGATCCTGCTGCTCTCCCCTGGATCCTGCTGCTCTCCCCTGGATCCTGCTGCTCTCCCCTGGATCCTGCTGCTCTCCCCTGGATCCTGCTGCTCTCCCCTGGATCCTGCTGCTCTCCCCTGGATCCTGCTGCTCTCCCCTGGATCCTGCTGCTCTCCCCTGGATCCTGCTGCTCTCCCCTGGATCCTGCTGCTCTCCCCTGGATCCTGCTGCTCTCCCCTGGATCCTGCTGCTCTCCCCTGGATCCTGCTGCTCTCCCCTGGATCCTGCTGCTCTCCCCTGGATCCTGCTGCTCTCCCCTGGATCCTGCTGCTCTCCCCTGGATCCTGCTGCTCTCCCCTGGATCCTGCTGCTCTCCCCTGGATCCTGCTGCTCTCCCCTGGATCCTGCTGCTCTCCCCTGGATCCTGCTGCTCTCCCCTGGATCCTGCTGCTCTCCCCTGGATCCTGCTGCTCTCCCCTGGATCCTGCTGCTCTCCCCTGGATCCTGCTGCTCTCCCCTGGATCCTGCTGCTCTCCCCTGGATCCTGCTGCTCTCCCCTGGATCCTGCTGCTCTCCCCTGGATCCTGCTGCTCTCCCCTGGATCCTGCTGCTCTCCCCTGGATCCTGCTGCTCTCCCCTGGATCCTGCTGCTCTCCCCTGGATCCTGCTGCTCTCCCCTGGATCCTGCTGCTCTCCCCTGGATCCTGCTGCTCTCCCCTGGATCCTGCTGCTCTCCCCTGGATCCTGCTGCTCTCCCCTGGATCCTGCTGCTCTCCCCTGGATCCTGCTGCTCTCCCCTGGATCCTGCTGCTCTCCCCTGGATCCTGCTGCTCTCCCCTGGATCCTGCTGCTCTCCCCTGGATCCTGCTGCTCTCCCCTGGATCCTGCTGCTCTCCCCTGGATCCTGCTGCTCTCCCCTGGATCCTGCTGCTCTCCCCTGGATCCTGCTGCTCTCCCCTGGATCCTGCTGCTCTCCCCTGGATCCTGCTGCTCTCCCCTGGATCCTGCTGCTCTCCCCTGGATCCTGCTGCTCTCCCCTGGATCCTGCTGCTCTCCCCTGGATCCTGCTGCTCTCCCCTGGATCCTGCTGCTCTCCCCTGGATCCTGCTGCTCTCCCCTGGATCCTGCTGCTCTCCCCTGGATCCTGCTGCTCTCCCCTGGATCCTGCTGCTCTCCCCTGGATCCTGCTGCTCTCCCCTGGATCCTGCTGCTCTCCCCTGGATCCTGCTGCTCTCCCCTGGATCCTGCTGCTCTCCCCTGGATCCTGCTGCTCTCCCCTGGATCCTGCTGCTCTCCCCTGGATCCTGCTGCTCTCCCCTGGATCCTGCTGCTCTCCCCTGGATCCTGCTGCTCTCCCCTGGATCCTGCTGCTCTCCCCTGGATCCTGCTGCTCTCCCCTGGATCCTGCTGCTCTCCCCTGGATCCTGCTGCTCTCCCCTGGATCCTGCTGCTCTCCCCTGGATCCTGCTGCTCTCCCCTGGATCCTGCTGCTCTCCCCTGGATCCTGCTGCTCTCCCCTGGATCCTGCTGCTCTCCCCTGGATCCTGCTGCTCTCCCCTGGATCCTGCTGCTCTCCCCTGGATCCTGCTGCTCTCCCCTGGATCCTGCTGCTCTTCCCTGGATCCTGCTGCTCTTCCTTGCAGCCTGCATGGAAGCGAGGGGAACGCGTGGTGCCAACTCCAGGATTGCCCATGCTGCTCCGCAGCAGCCAAGTGGGTTTTGCAGTGCAAGGATGGCAGGGGAGGAGGAGGAGGGGATGCTCTGTCAGCGAGGGAAGATGCACTATATACCCTATTGTCTTGCAACTAAGACCTTTTCTCTACAATAAAAATGTCTTTCCTGCAGCTCATGAGGTGTTTTATCCTTCTCTTTTTTGTCAATACAATGCCTATGAAGCTTTTCCTTTTCCAAAGGCAATTCCTTCATATATCTGCTACCCTTTCTCACTTTGATGAAATCTCTTGCAAACTCTGTAGACAAGCTCCCACATAAGACTCTCAAGATCCCCAGACACTTGGCTACAGTTAATGCTTGGCTTAAAATTTCAGAACTTTGCAGGAGCTGAGCATGATGTTCTCCAGAGGGAACAGCTTCATTCTGCTGCTTTAGACATGAAGAGGAGAGAGAGATTGATAAAATTGACTTATGATGCTTTATTGGCCTTCAAAAGCTTGAGAGATCTGGAAGATGGAAAATCCCTTCTTAGTTTTCCTCTGGTTGTCATCAGGTCATCAAAGCTTCATCCCTGCAGTCTTGCACCGTGCATCTCCTGTCACTTGGTCATTCGCTTTTAATTGGAGTAGAGAAGACAGAGGTATTGCCACCAGGCAAGGCTCCCAAGCTGCCCAGTCAGGTCTCTCACTGATACCAATTCCTCGCTGCACAGCTTTTAATGTTGGAGTTTGGCGTGACATCTCATTAATAACGTTTACAGGAGTGGATGATGGAGCGTGAGACAGGATAAAGAGTAATGGAAAAGGGGCAAGTGCAAAACTGTTCCCAATGCTAAAAACTATCCTGTCAGTTTTAATATTTGAAATATATTTCTGCTCTTTGCAATGAAAGAACAAAAATATCCCCTTGTGAGGACAGCAATGTTTCCAGGTAACGTTGTTCACCAAGACAATGTCTCCAGAAATTCTGTACAATATAAATGGCACAGTCACACAGCAGCAGTAAAGCCTGCTTAAATTTGAGTACTTTTTAGCAATTAATGTAAATGTGGACACACCTACTATGTAATTTCACTGAGGTTTGACCAACAATAATATAATGTAGAAACTGATGGCACATTATTTGCTTGACATAGCACACTATTTCCTCTGTGGTACTGATTTTTTTCCTGAGGTTGATGCAAATAGCACGAGGCATACAGTTGACTAAATTGAAATATCGCCCCTCCTTGATCCTGTGCAGTGCTGATGCAGGGGGAATGCAGCAGAACAAAACACATTTGTACGATGACATTTCTCCTTTTAAAGAGGCCTAAATAAACATACCTCAAAATAAATGGAAAATTGCTAAAATAACAGAGAGACCCACTCATGTAACAGGAGAAAAGAAAGAGAGCTTCATTTTAGAGTGTATGTCAGTTTGGATCCAAAAAGCTTATTTCCTTTCAAAACGAGGATGCAGCAGCAAAAGAAACATCAAACCGAATCATTCCAGACTTTCATGTAAAATTATAAAATAAAGACTTGATGCTTGTTTCAAGTTGATACTGGCATTGACTTTCCAACAACAAGCACATCACAGAATGCAACTTCTCATATCGTTTAGAAATCACCCCAAAATTTAAAATAGAACATGAGAGATTTGACATAAGATTATCTGTTGCAATACCAAAAAAACAAAACAAAAAACCCAACATTTTTTAAGGAAGACTTAACCAATTAATCTAAAGCATAAGAAATAAGAGTATAATAAGAATATGACGGAAACTACTCAAACTTTTACCTTTGTGGCAGCATCGAAGCATACAAAGCCCATGCTAAAGTCAATGGTGAGCCCCATGAGATGACTCTCCAGAACGCAGGCATACGTCTTGCACTGGGAAAGGAAAACCAGGAAAGGAAAAACAGTCACCACACTGCACATTCCTCAGCTTCCTTCTGGGGCCACTCCTTCTTTGGCTTTATTATAATGTACATACCTCAAATTTAGTATCCAAAAGAATTCATTTCTGTGTAAACAGGCCATTTCATTGAAACTATATCTCAAATCAAAGGATTTATATGAGTGATGAAATTTTCTAAGTATTGTAAAAGAGACTTTACTTCCACTAAGGAAAAAATAAATCAGATTGAACAGCCTCAGTGTCTTACCAATGACAACTGCTAAAAGGGAAGTTTCATTATTCTTGAACTCCCATATTCATTCTGGAAGATGAAACCTAGGGTCTTCCTCTAAACATTAATATATCCAGCTTTGTAAGAAAAAAAGAAGTAAAATATCTCTTTGGTATGCTCTTTATTTTTGATGTCTTCCTAAATCTCAGTGAAAAATACAATATTTAATATGCTGTAGTAATTGATGTAATCATATGAAATAGCTTTTTGCTTCAGCTACTACATCTCTAAAGTTCCTATGAGAAAACCTTGAAATTTTGAAAGACTTTCCATTTTACGGATTTTTTAAAAATAACTGTCTATTTATTTCCACAGTATCTGATTTTGATACATGCCATGAGATATATAGTGCTGACATTTCAGGATCAAAATTATTGCTGCGCCAGAGGGGTGACTTCAGGTTCAAAATTATACACTGGAAATTTTCACCACAAAACCTGTCAAAGTGCTAAATTATTTTCAAATTTGATGTAGTAAGTGCTTTAAAAGGCCATTCTTATTTTATATTTTTTTTGCCCTTCATACCAAATGAGATATAATTATATTTTTCAATTCTCTATGTATCCATTAAAGGTACCAAGTGAGAAAAAAAAAGACTTGTATGGTCTATAATGTGTCAAAGATAGAGACTTGTATGGTTGTATGGTCTATAATGTGTCAAAGATAATAAATATAAATTATTAATACAGACACAATGTAAGTTACTAAATTATCAGTGTTACAAAGGCATGTGACATTATGCCATTTTGACTATGAAGGAAAATATTAAGGATAATTCAGTTGTCCTGTATGTTCTTTGTCTATGCACCTAGACGGGTACCCCAGCACACAAGAAGCTGAATGGCTCCTTTACAGCTCCTCTGAGATAAACCAGACTTACCAATGCTCACACTGAAGGAGGAAGACAAGTTCACAGCTATAGAGCTAACTAATCTTCTCATGTTTAAATAGACATTACTTTCCTGGAACTGAAATATGTGTGAATTTCTTTCATAGATCAAATCAGGCCTCAAGTGCATTCATTTTTTGGATAAATTTTGTGTGCATGTCCTGAAGCTCAAAAATGCTAGTTTCAAATCCAGTGGTATCTATTGCACATGGACAAAGTTTAAAGCAGTGACTCGGAAGCAGAAGCAACCCATGGCCTCCCTATGACTTACAAGGTGTTTTTGCACTGTTGCTGAGTAACAGTCAATCATATGTTATTGTGCTATTCTCCAAAGGTGTCTAAAAGCCGTAACTGTCCATCCCTACAGAAAAGGTTTCCTGCTGCTGCTGTTGAGATGCAAAGCAATGGAGGGTCTATTCTGGCAGCTTCCAGCACTGAAAGAACTCAGTGTGCTTTACTACATGTCTAAAATGTGGACTCATACAGCACAGATTTGCACTCAGTCATTATAATTATTAATGCATGGAACTTCAGTTAGTTACAAAATCTGTGCTGTCAGAGTCATATCATATTTGTGTTTATATCAGCAAATAAGACTGGTTCTTTTTGGAGCAGCTACACCATAACGCCTCTATGAAAATGCTAACTTTGATCCTGAATGTGTGTTGTCAGAAAGAATGATGATTTTGCCTTTGGCAACATCTCATTAGTTAAAGAAAAGAGGATGCATCAATGGAAAGTAATACACTTCCCAATGAATCCACTTAATGAATTCTCACATAACAAAATGCTGATGTTCTACACGCAAAACAAAATTGTGCAGTTTTGTTCAATTCTTTTGTTACCTTGGAATAAAAGAACAACTTTTTTGTTTTTCCCATGCCTCCCGTCCATCTAGAACAGACGTACCCAGGACTAAGGACTGAACACAGGTGAGCACAAAGCGTCCCGCTGGGCTATGGCAACGCGCAGGGTGTCCC